AAAGAATATATTGTTATATGTGTCTTCAAATTAGCACTGTTGGGTACTAAATGTGACATGTCTGAAATTTAAAACATTTGTGACTGTTGACTAATAGACAACGAAACTGTCTGAAAAGTACAAAAACATTATTCATGAATTGTAATGATAGTTATCTCCATAGATTCCAGGTACTGTTGTTAAGACAGGCTTAGTTCTCTTATGATGATAAATCTATCACGGAGACATTTGTGTTTGTTGAATGACGGAATGTGCCTCGTCTGAAGAAGTTTTGATACAGTTTCAAGTATGAGGTCCTGATGTTCACTATGAACTCTGCTATTACCCTACTACCTGATAGGCTAATACTGTGAAAGTCTTTACCCTTGATAAAGGCCAGTACGTTTAAGATTATTTGAGCGTTTCTATGGCTACCTGCATATCCCAGGTACGAAGCGCTACCTTTTCCTCATGTGCTGTATTAATAGCAGCGCGATGAAATTTACATCTTCTGTGCTGAGCTCCGTGACGTAGTTCAAAATCTGATTACTACGAGAGGGTGCATCATGATAAACTCCCTTCCTCTGAAGAGCAAGGTTGAATAAACCAGAGGTGAGACTTGTTCTGTGAAAAGAAGTTCCAACTGTGTGTGAACGTCAGTTGGTGTTGGAAGGAGGTGTGATGCAGGTGAGAGGAACTAGGTGATGAGGCAGGAACTACGTTGGCTTCAGTGCAGTGCTGATGAGTTTTAAACATGATGATGAAATCATAAATAAAACAAACTAGACAGCAGTTGTTCATGTTTTCTCAGCTAATTTATGGAGGAAATCGTAAATTCCTAAACAAATATATTTTTGGGTTCACATTTCAATACACTTTGATGGTTTTAATTTTGCTTGACTTGTCACTATTGACTGAATGGGTGGAGAGAGAGAGAGAGCGAGCGTGAGTCTGACTGAATATTCCAGGTTAGCTGAGCTGGATATAAACACACACTGCAGGAAAACCCACCTTCTGTTTTGAAGCTTTGTAGCATTGATTTGGTTCACTGGAATTCAGCTTGGATATAGTTAGGTAAGAATAATTAACTCCTCATTGTGTTTACTTTCATACCCTGTGCTTTCTGATCGTAGGCTTATAAATTCAAGGTATGAAATACTGGACAGATTCTTGTTTCAGAACACTTATGTAATAAATGACAGTTTGACCCTTAGACATTAAACCACAAAACAAGCAGAATCATGCTCTACATAATATGCTGGCTGCATGATGGAGGCATGATCTTCAATGTCAGTGATTTGTGTGATGTCAGCAACATGCAGATTAACAGTTGTTCACGTCATAGGGTAACACTCTCTGTCTGACACAAGAACACCTTATAAGGTGATAAGTGTTTGAAATTAAAAGAGGTCCTCGGGGGTCTTGTGGCCTGCTGCCATAGCATTTGAATCTTGAATATTTTGTGTTGGGTTTATAAATAGGACCCTCTCGACGTAAAGCATATTTTTTAACACTGACAGTCATTGTGTCATCTCTAAATATTTTAGCCTGCGTATGTGTGGGAAAATTGTTTCAGTAACCATACATATTTTTCGTTATGATTTATTCCTTCCAACCTGTAAGAAAATATATTTCTTGGGAAATTTTACTTGACCTCAGCTTTGGACAGTGCCAGAGTGATGACTGCAGGCAGTTGTCTTCTGAATTAGAATTTTATAACTTTTCCATTAAATAGTTCATCTGAGGAGTAGTTTCAGTTTGAGATGAATTCTGGACGCTGGTTGGTAGAGATACCAAAACAGCACACCTGCATGACACACAGCCTCAGACAAAGTACTCCAGTCCGATTGCAAGTTTTATGTGTTTAGAATCATTCTGCTTTATGCCACAGAGAAGTGTATCAGAAACTACAGCTGTGGTAAGAGGAGAAAACATAGTTCCATGATGATGTATGAGGGTATTTGTGGCAGACATATATATCATCACTGTTTATGACACTTCCTTTCTCATCAGTCAACTCTGTTCCTGAAGTTTCAGCATTAAAGTTGTTTTGAAGGAGGGATGGAATGTTAGTGTAAGTCAGTGTTTTGTTTTTATTACCAAAAAGGTTTTGAATAGAATTTAACTCCTTGTAAAATTGAAATTGATCATGATCTCAAATATATGTATATATATGGTGGAAATATGTTGCTAGCCAGACAAGACAATGGAACTGTTTCTACTCCATCTTTCTCTTGATGGATGCTTAATGTATGGGATCTAACTGTATATTTGAGCGAGCACTGGTGCTGCGCTGCTGTATTTGGAGTTGCTGCCCTTGTTATCACCAGAATCTGCTGATTATGGTTTCCAATTATGACTGTACAGGTCTTTGTTTATCAGCATTATACCCATGTTCATGTGTTTCACAAAAGTTGTGAATACCTTCAGCCTTCCTCACATTGAGCTTCCGCCATAATTATCAGACATGTTCTGGCAGAAATTGTTTAAAAAAGCCATGACTTCCAACTCACTCATTCACTGTCCATACATGGAACCTTTCGCGATTGCTGCTGCATACTGTATATGGAAGCTTGTTGTACACCGTGTTGTACGTCAGTGCCAGTTTCTTCCACACCATATATGACATGTCAGTACATACTGCAGACACTCATGCTTTTAGCCTATGTACACCTTTGCTCTTACAGACATATTCACTTTCATCGAAAGACGTCATAACGTGCGAATCATGGCCACATGTATGCTGTACATGATCGACAGGGGATACTGTCGACATTTCCTATGGGGGGAGATATCCTGAATTTGTGTATGTTGTGGGACCTGTAGATTCCAGGTCATGGGCTGCTTAGTGTTTTTGTGTCCACAATACTCTCACCTCTAACCCAGTAATGTGACAGGGCAAGTTTTGGCACCACTGGAAATCAGACTGGATGTGAACAGGATTCAGGATCTATAAGGGCTAAATATATGTTAGTCACAAGACATTTGTGATGTTTCACTTGGTTCAATTCAGTCAAATAAAACATTACTGATAATAATGGATCTTAGTATCTACTTTTGCTCATACGTCACAGGGAAAATGTTGAAAATTTCATTTCTTAAAAAGAAGTGTAACTTTTCAGTTGTATCCTTGTCAGTTTTGCTGCCTGTACATCTGCAGTAGAGGCAATAAACATATTTATCTGAGAACCAATTAAATTGCACTTAACTATGTCATCAGTAATAGAAAGGCCTCCATCTAATGATATCGATGTAGATACCCACAGAAGGTGTCATAGAAAAAGAAATATTGGCTCAATTGTATGTCTTTGGATGAATTAGCACACATATTGTCCCCATATCACAGTTGATACTTTGTGATATTCTGACATCCAAGACAAGGTAGTTAGTCGAAACTGATTCCATGAAAGTCCATGAGTAGGAACCAATGTGCATTATGGCATGGTGACGACTTGAAGGGGAGACAAGAATATGGTATCTGTAGTAAGATATTGTTATCTCAAACCATTTCAAAGTCATGAGCAGACATTTTTTGTTTTCAGGGTTTTTTTCTGAATGACATAAGAAAATGTAATAAAAGTTACACTTTAGTTAGATATAGCATTTCGCCATATACGTTCACGATTTACATGTGATTGATTATGTTATACTATTTCTTTCTGTTCCTTAACAAAATAAGCTTCTGCTCTCTGCAACAAAATAAACTTCTGCTCTCTGCATTAAAGAAACTACGGAAATTTTATCAAGCTGTAAAATGTATATATTGGGTCGTCCAGTTGAGAGTAAGGTATGGCAAGACACTTTCCTAGAGCTGTAACTGTGTATCTTCCAGTGGCAGTGCTAAGCCTCTCCAAGGTACAGTGTGCTTCTATCTCCTACACCTGTTTCCCACTCACACACTGGTTTTCAACTTAAAAAGGATTCCAAGAATTCGGGCACTCTAACTCCCAGCAGTCTTTTCCTGAACGACCAGCCAGTGTATGCTGCTAGTTTTGTACACAGTCACACCTGAAACTTGTGAATTTAAAACAAACACATTCAAGAAAGAAATGTAGGTTTTTGAGATATTTATTACTGAAAGGTAGTTGCTTTAATGTAGACTTACATTTAGTCCCCCAAATGCAGTTAACTTAGTTGAAAATATGTAGAAAATATATATCAACAAAACAAATCCAAATGACAACCCTAATTTCTGGAGCTAAAGCGTTCTAGACCTGTCAATTAATTGTAGATTCAAGTAAGACACCCATTTAATACCTTCTCAAGGGCCTGGGAGACAGGCTAGCTGTAATGAGTCAGTGCATGAACCTGTAGTCACGCGTGTAGACGAGAAAGTGCAGTGCTGTGAAGGTTCTACACATATATAGGCAACTGGGTTGGGTGTGACTGTTTCAAAACAATGGCTCTCATGTGTTCATTGTTCACGATTCTGACCCTGAAATCTGTAAATTTGTCATATTTTTTTTTGTTATGATACAAGCTCCAAGTTGTGCAGCATCTTCGACTTGCTGTTGGTTTGACTAATGTAGACTCCTGTTTCAGTCACATTGTTCAAACCTTTTCTGTATAAAAAGGTGACTTGGTTACAAACTATTGAGCACTGCTGTATCTACGCAATCCTCACTTCTCAGTTTTATGTGTTTCAGTGATTGCTAATTTTTAATAAAGAATATGATAATATCTTCTGAAATCAATATCATCTCAGACTCAAATATTTTGCTTTCACAGGTTTTGTAAGAATGTTATTAAGTTGACAAGTGTGGATTGTTCGATTTTAAGGAGAGGTGCTGTGGCTTGTGACCCCAGCTCCGAGACTGGGTGATGCAAGGAGTGATCTTTTCACTCACAGAAATTGTCCATTATATGAATCGTTGTAACTTCGTCAATAGATATCAGTTATGACATTTACTGCTGGTAAACGTGGAAGGATCGGGGATGAAGAATAGCAGGATCATTGTTGTTGTCCTTGTCCTCAGATTTTGTGCATATGAAAAGCTGACTATTTCTTTACTGTATTGCAGGTGAATGGGACTCTGGTGACATCAAGGAACCATATTGATGTGGTGAAACTCATCAAATGTGAGTACCATCTCTGTGTTTTAGCTGAGTACCGGGACATATACACCACGCTCTGGTGTAAACACTCAACACAATGTACACACATCACGACATTGGTGGATGGCTTCACTTCCCAACACTTACCATACGTTTTGCATTATTTTGCCGAATGATACTATTATTTCAAAGATTACCTGTGGTTATGTCAGTATCACTAAAAGATTCTTATTGTAAGGTCTTATGGAAAAGATACTTAGAATTCTGCCTGTATTGCAGAATGAAACTTATGGTCGTGTCAATGTTAAAATGGGATACAAGCATGTTAAATTGCAGTAGAGGACATTCATTCATTCTAGAATTTCAGTATGAGTTAAATGTCCCTAGTGCACCCTAACATTTTCAGCCTAATCACAGCCACACATATGCCACAAACGCAGTTAAGCAGATATGCAAACCTAACATGTTTTAACAGACAGGTGCAGACAGACATGGCACAGACATGCAGCACCACACGCAGACATTGTTGCCCTTTATTGGGAAACAATAGAGCAGTGATGAACAGCTCTAGCAGGGAACAGTTAATGATGTGGGACATTGGGATTAATGTCATGATTAGGATGAATCACTCCAGTAATAGCCATTTGTGATAATTCATCTAAGGATATCTGGACGAATATGGTTCGGATAAGAATCAGAAATAGATAAGAAGAAACTATGTTATAGGAATGCAGGAATATATTGATGTCATTAATGTTTATATTTTCAAACAACAGTTGGTTGCCAGTTACATACCGTATCATTATATTTCTGGGTTCTTATTAAAATATTAAAAACATTCAAAATAATCATTTGTACTGTTGGCTTCTCATATTTTTGTTTAACCAGTCTCAGCAACAGCAAAGGACCTGGGGCTCCTTTCACGAAGCATTGTTACCTTTACTAAGGTTAACCTTAACTCCCACTCTTTAATATTGCACTAAGGCTACCTTAGTGACTTACGATCACCTTAGTGCTTTGTGAAAGGAGGCCCCATTGGTCATAACTTCCCTTACTTGGACACAAGAGTGAGAATATTGGTTGTATACTTGTCCTGCATATCACAGTGACCTAGTTGCCTGATGGTAGTGTGGTCACACCCTCCTCCCATCATGCCACTGGGACAGTTACTGTATAGGTTGATGGATGCATGTCATTAACATGGGAGTTTATGTTCCTACAAGAGTGATTGGAGTAAGTGTGAAGTGCTTACAGCCGTTTGATTAAGGGAGATGTGTAGCTGACAGACTGGGCGAGGTAATTACCTCACAGAGGCGTATAAACTACACATGCTCCTTGGACCACGTTTTGTAGAGATACATGTCATGGATATACTCAAACTGAACAGTGAATGTATTAAAAGAAAGAACCTTGCAGAGTAGGATCATGACAAGCCCAATCTTTAGCGCATGGACTCTTGGGATCTCCCAGGTACTTTAACATCTCATTAACAAACTCTGTGTGAGACCATGGCAGGTCTGTTATGGAGGATGAATTATTGCCAGCAGTTAAGTGACTGCAACATGTCAATCTTCCAGGAAGAATATTTGAGATGATGTCATTCTTGTCATTGAACTGACTATATTAGTCTGGTTGTACATTAACAGCATGGATTGGTTGTCGGAACAGTTAACCACTTGATTTCTGGATTTGTTTTCATGTTAAACCAGAGGTAAAAGTGAAAAAGTGAATAATAACAGTAAGTAAAGGACTCTACTGTGCCATTTTTGTTTCATTGTTAGTCATGAATTAAGATAACTTAGGCCAAGGAACATAGCTGCAAGTGTTGTGTGCACCAACCTGACAAAGATAAGTGAAGAAACAGATATATTTGTTGCCCAATTAGTTATCGTAGGCACTGATTCTGGTTACAGAATGGAATGTAGTGTGTTCATGTCTGTGTACCTCAAGTGCATTTTGCGATTTACTTTCAGAAAGAATGGGTATTAACATGACTGTTGTGCTTGACAGATTGTAAGTTAACAGTTGTTCAGTTTTAAAACCTACATTTACACTTGTACTGGGTTGGAATGTTTCCGTGTCATTTTCAAAATTGATCATGAGTTTATGACTTTATGGAAGTACTGTTGCTAGGTAATAAATTTTCTTTTACCAATTCCTTAGTGGAACATTTTTTTAACAATTATGCTTCAGGAAGTGCTGTGTAGCAAATTGTTGGATTTGTTTATGATTTTCTCATTCTAATTGTCAGATGTACAACCATATAGTTCAAACAAACGTAGCCCTATGTGTAAGATAATGACTTATCATGGAGGCACCTTTGGATGTCTTCAGTCGCAGTAGACCAAATCTGGCCTGCCATCATCAAGTTTTAGGAGACTGAATCTGCTGTTGAAGTAACCCCTTTAAATCCGAGGCGGTGGGGTAGCCAAGGGGTTAAAGCGTTCACTCTTCACGCCGAAAACCCGGGTTCGATTCCCCACATGGGTACAAATTGTGAAGCCCATTCCTGGTGTCCCCGCCGTGATAGTGCTGGAATATTGCTAAAGTGGCATAAAACTAAACTCACTCACCTTTAAATCCAGCTGGCTAGACTAAAGCTTAATCTCTGAATATGTGTACTTTTTTATATTGAAAAGGTGAGAAGGGAGATCCTGAACCTGGGCAAATCTAGATTTGCCTCATTTAGAGCTGTTGCATTGCAGGGAGGGCTAGGCAGTAGGGAAAATATTGCAGTTTATTGGCTGTGAGACAGACTACAAACTGGCCAGCCTCTGGCTTATGAAGCATGTCCATTTAAGTCAGGCTTGCCATCATCTAGTCTGAAAGGATTAAATCTTTAGAAGCATGCCCCTTTAAGTCAAACTTGCCATACTCAATGGGATGTTTTTAGTGTAACATGAGTTTCAGTTGCTTCCATTGATGTTTTCTCCATCATTCTGTGTTAGATATTAACAAGAAAAGTGAGTTTGCACTAGATAGGTGATAAATTTTGATATGTCCAGAAATGCGACAGCCCCATTCAGGTTGGCCAAGATAAGGGGGGAAATGAGATTACTTTCAGTGGGAGTATTGATCCGCACCATCATACTTGTGTTTTAGTCTAATTCAGGACCTAGCAAAAATAACTGGCTTGTTGGGGAGATTACAACCCTTAATATTGCTACAGACAGACCTTAGGGGTCATCCCATAAGTAAGCTGGCTTGTTTTGAAGATTAAAACCATTAATGATGCTCCTTCCACCTCTGAGGGTTATCTCATAAGTAAGGTGGCATGTTCTGAAGATACTGACCCTTCAAAATGCTACACAGGAACTGCAGGGAGATTTGATAGAGAAGAAGGCATGTGTGGTAAATCAGAAACTTGCAAACTGCTGAAGCCCTCAATGGGTTATCATGTATAATTTACGGCAACTTATTTTTACACTGAGAACTTCATGGATTCATTTCATGATCTGTAGGAACTGCTTGAGGGCTGATTCTTCTATTTCCCTCCTGTTGATTAGCGTAGATCACAGCAAAACGGCTACAGATCCAGATATCATAGTGTTGGTGATTGCCCTGGCCGGTGTTTGTTTGACTTCTCACATAGTTACATCAGTGTCATCTATGTTGTACATGCAGGTACTAAAATGTACGATTTCAAAGCTGGAATTATTGATTTATGAAACAGATTTGGGCATAGAAGAACATTAAACTCCAACTATGTATCATAACAGCATGACCACTTTTTGCTGAAAAGAATAAATCTTCAGCTGCTAAGTGAATGCTCAGTGATAGTAACACCCTTGCTGAGAGCGAGAGATCCTGAATGACTGGAAAGTCAACACAACAGATGTTTTAGTGAAGTAATTAACAAACAGTGCATGTAAATGTTCTCAGCCTCTACCCACTATAATCACCATACCTGCTTGGATGACAGAGACCTCTAACTGGGAGAGGGCCAGGCAAGGGGAGATAACCATCATTGGTTTTGCTAATTGCCAACTTGAAGCAGCAAAACAAACTATGTGTTTGTATGTCAGCCTGGCCTAGACTGTAACACAGGGTTGTGATGAATTCCAACACAAACTGTGTCCTTTGCCCAAGTCTTATTGAGACTTGCAGAGGATTGGTGTGTTGCAGTATTGTTACAGTGTAAAATAGGAGTCACCTCTATCATGTGTTCTCATCACAATGGAGCGGCAGGGAGAATGTGTTTTCACTTGGCAGTACAATTATAGTTGTTGTAGGGGTTTTGTGTATCAGACCTGATCCTCTGTCTGTGGAAAGGGAACGCCACTGGGTTCCTTATCCACTATATCACATAATGATAAGGGATATAATAAGCAATTGCAATTTGGGGATAGTGGGTGGGGGAGTTGGGTGATTCTTCCATCAGTATGTCCTCCTTACAGTTTGCTGATGGTATATTTCAGGCTGTCCAAGTAGGTCCCTTTGCATTATTTGATCACAGTTTGTAAAGGAAAAACTGCAAGGCCTGAAAGGATTATTGGACTGGATGATTACAGTGTTTACATCTCAGGCCATCAGACCCTTGCAGGATTCCTGAGTATTGGATGGTCAAAATGTTGTGCATCTTAAGCCCCCAGCCCCCAGAAGATTTTGAATATGTTATGGCCACAGTGTTGTACGTCTCATGTTCATAAGGAAGATAATGAAGTGATAGGATGCTTTCTTTGTCTTTGAGATGGTGTTGATATGAAAACAGATTACTGTTATCATTTTACCAGAACTGCCTTTGAGAAAAACAATGAAATTACAATATGCAGTAGCCAAATTAAATAGTCTTGTTTCTTCAGTATTCATCTGTCTGAAAATAGAGCTGGCTCATGCTGGTAATTATGTAAAATAAACCTTTAGAGTGTCTGAAAGTCCGTAAATTCCCAGTTAACTTGGCCCCTTTGCTTTCATCTTGTGTCTGTGTTTAAGACAAGGTTGTTATGTGGAGATGTGAAGTGGTAGTAGTGACGTGATGGGGTGCGAAACATCACCACCAGCCCCAAGTTTATCAGTCGATGGGC